TAACAAAAGCAGGGTGTCATTGACATCCGTAGCAGCCACAAGCATAAACGTATCATCAGCGTATTGATAGTTATTACAATATCTAAAGATCTTATTCATGTCATTGACATAGGCTATAAAGTGCAATGGTCCAAGTACGGAACCCTGAGCTGTGCCTTCGGTTACTTTGACTGATGTGCTGTAGCTTTCACAAATTTTAACATGGTAGCTTCTATTTGTCATATAGTTTTTACACCAATTTAAAAGAGGTCCACGAATACCTGTATTTTCCAACTTCCTAATCAGCTCATTATGATCTAATGTATCAAAGGCGCGAGAAAAATCAATAAATAGGGCTAGAACATGTAGTTTCTGATTCATCCATGAATTAACTTGATCTGTGAATTCCGATAATAGCATTGCAGAGTTCTTACCTGGCCTGAAGCCGAATTGGCTAGAGCTTAAAATATTACTTTTTTGATAAAACTCATGTATTTGATTACAGATATATTTTTCCGCTATTTTATCTATTGATGATGTTAAACTAATTGGTCTATAATTATTTGTGTCATCAAACTTACCTTTTTTATGGACTGGTTAAGTTCATCTGGATATGTGTCTGTTTTGATACAGGTATTTATAAATTTAGCTAAGGGTTCTGAAATTATATTGGCAATGCTCTTGATATCTCTCATTCTAACGCAATCAAAACCTGGGGCTTTATCAGTACTTATTAATTAGTTTATTTACACTATCTGGCGTTGCCTTCTTAAAGTACATACTACAATTATTTTAAATAATAATATAAAAGAAATTAAAAAAATAAAATAATAATATAAAAGAAATTGAGTATCACGCATTGATCACGTAAATACTGAGCTGAGCTGTGATGATCCTAGTGAAACCACTACTAAGAAATCTTTTAGAATTAATGAAATTTAAATGATTTTTAGAATACTATGTAGGTAATAGTAAAAGTCATGAATTTATTCTTTTGTTATCAGTTCTTAATACGTGGGTGAAAACTGATTTCAAAATACCTCAAATTCAGAATATTCCAGATCAACAATGACGGATAGTTTGTATCATAAAGCAGAGTTGGAAATTTCGGTGTTTTGAAAAGTATTAATCAGTGACAGTTTGTGTACATATTGACATTTTTGATGGTGAGTATTTAATTTCGCTCATGTATTGAATTATGATCATCTATCTTATAGTCACTCACAAGTATACAGGTTGTAAAGACAGATAAAAATTTAATATCGTGGTTAATTGCATAAAGAGACTTTACTGTACTCAAGTGTTATTATTTGAATTACATATCATTTTTGTAATAGTTTGGGGTAGATTATATATAAAAGGAGAAATATTGTTTCTGCGGGCAAACTTAGTGGAAATCATGAAGAAAGATGTAAATGTAAACGTTATTTATTAGCACAAAATAGTAAAAATTACTATCCCAGTTAGAGCCTTTTGGTGTCTTGAGATACTATCTTTAGCGTCTGTCTGCTTATAATCTCCCAAAAACTTCTCAATGTTACACATCAACATATTATGAAGAATTTTGTTAAAATGTACGTAGTACTAGACTGTATGGACAAAGACCCTTCTGCCCGTAAATAATAATATTAGATAGTACCATAGACTTTTACGGATAGTACTCGTAGATAGAGGATTGACTATGTCTATGATAGTACTGCGCAGCGCGTAGATAGAGGATTGACTAGATAAAGCATTCGCGTATGCTTTTGAGATAGAAATAGGCGGGAGGTACTTTCACTGGGTTACCAGATATTGTTCCATTTCCCCCGTTATGGGTTTATTTATATTCACAACACTTACATTCATACAAAAAACTTAATTGTTACCATAAAAAAATGTTCTTTTATAATTCAGATGATTAATTCATTTCTCTTGAAAATACATTCTGTGATAAAAACTACGGGCGGAAACGGCGTAAGAACAGAATCATCATTCTGTATTCAACGGCGCATCGACGATTTTACTGGACATTCAATAAACTCTGGATTTCGATGGCACTAAGTGAAGACGCTACTAGCACAAAGTGTGATATTGCTAATAAATAACAATATTATATAAATTAAAAATATTATATAATAATAATTTGTACAGTGGTAGAGCCACGCGGCAGCTTTTGCTATCGCTCGAACCGGGGTGGTACCACGACCTCACAGAAAACCAGCGTGAAATATAGGTTTACCTCTGCGTTTCGCTTGGTGAGTGCAGGTGGCCGGAGGCCCTTTTTACTTGAAATGAGGCATTCCATCTTAGTCCTCACGGGTGTCAACGCATCTACATTTTGATTTGTAATAGAGGATAGATGTAGATGTCTATGGGCTGCAGCAACCATTTACCATCAGGTGGACTGTTTGCTCGTTTGTCACCCTTAACCTATAAAAAAAAAATATTATGTATGTACTTAAATATTAATTAAGAATAAAAATTTCCTCGTGTCGAGTTTTGTTTTTACAAAAAAAAAATCAATAATGTTTTAACATACCATTCCATCACAAGTTCAGTGCTGAACACAGACCTCCGAAAGGAAAGGCTTTCCACTTAGGTTTTGTAGTACAAAATACGGTTATGAGGCTACTCCCGCGATTTCCTGCATGTTTTGCTAAATTAGTGTCTTGTATGCGGCAAGTTGTGGCGTACAAGAGAATTTGTACGCCACAACTTGCCGCACACAAGAAATGATATTACCCCGCGTCGTAAGCAATAATACAAGATGGGGAAGGGGCAGTAGCACTTTCCCGATGAAAACTTAAAATAATAAATAACTGCGGTGGCCAACCAGCATAACGCATATTTTCAAGCAAGCGTGGCAAGTATGGTAAAAGTCATTCTATGAGGATATCTAGGGAAGGCCTCTTTTAGGTGGGTGGGTGGGTACTTACTTATGGTTAGGTGGCTTAATCATGTTACCTAATGGTTAAGGTGGTAAAATGTTTTAGTTAATATACGTTGTAAAGCATCAACAAGGGTTTGTTTTTGTAATATGTTGGTATTTAAAATAAAAACGAATGTTTTGTAATATTCTATTTTAATTTGCCATGCAGTGTAAGATTATCTGCTACCTCATATCATTCCATGGGTGGTGTATGAGGTGACATAGGGAAACATCAAAGGAGATAAACAACAGCATTTTCCTGATAACAGCTAAATAAAAAAAACAGTGGTTTAAGTTCAACAGTGGTCTCTTGATAGACTGTAAAGATATATATTCTATTCAAATGAAAATATAAAAAGGAAAAAGAACTATATTTTGTGTATTGTGTAATTTTTTGCGGAACTCTAAAATAAAAGCAGCACAAGTTACTCCTTATAACATCAGCTATCTGCCAGTGTATAAATATTGACATTAATATTTATACGATACTACCTTCTCGGAACCCCTCCACTAACACTTAAACTTGATGGTATGGTATTAAAGTTCAAATTGACTTTTAAGTATTATTATGAATCTTTTGTATGGGAATATAGAATATTTTTTTTTACTTTTTCATGCAATTTTTTAAATTTTTCTCTCCGTAAGAACCATCTTCGTACTTCAAGGAATATTATAAAAAAAGAATTAGCGAAATCGGTTCAGCTGCTCTTGAGATTTGCGCTTAGCAACACATTCAGCTATTCATTTTTATATTATAGATGTTACATTAAGAAAAACAAATGAAAACACAATTATATATTAAATATAATTCAAGAAAATTAAAATAAATAAACGATTATTTATAAATTTTTCATCACATTAACAACAAAATTAGCAAAATTTTTGTCTTCTTTCTAGAGCATTTGTTGTTATTCTTGGTTTGAGCAGCTTTAGAATTTCTCAAAAATATGCATTTATAAACTTGATTTATACTTTGCATGGCAGAAATTCTTGGGTGCTGGTTGTTAGAATCGGATTAGAAAGGAGTATATATATTATATGCCTTGTATAAAATTTATTTTAGTGGTATAAATAATAAGGTACAACTCCTAAACTATACTTAGATAGGTAATACCTATCTCTTGTCAAAACATATATTATATGCCTTGTATAAAATATATTTTAGTGGTATAAATAATAAGGTACAACTCCTAAACTATACTTAGATAGGTAACACCTATCTCTTGTCAAAACATCTTTATTACATTATTTATGTCAATTTAATGGATATTATGCTTAGAAATGTATAAAGGAAAAAGAACTAAATTTTGTGTACTTATACAATATTTAGAAATATTAACAATGTTACATTAAGTAAAACAAATGAAAACACAATTATATATTAAATATAATTCAATAACATTAAAATAAACATACGATTATTTATTAATTTTTCATCACATTAATAAACAAATTTAACAAAATTTTTGTCTTCTTTCTGGAGTATTCGTTGTAATTCTTGGTTTGAGTAGCTTTAGAATTTCTCAAAAATATGCATTTGTAAACTTGATTTATACTTTTGCATGGCAGAAATTCTTGGGTGCTGGGTGTTAGTACATATATATATATATATATATATAATAATGCCTTGTATATAATATATTTTAATGGTATAAATAATAAGGTACAACTCCTAAACTATACTTAGATAGGTAATACTTATCTCTTATAAAAAAACATCTTTATTACATTATTTATGTCAATTTAATGGAAATTATCATAATAGGCTATTTGACAACATTGAAAATATACTATAAATTGTGGTCATCCTATCAGATAATAGGGTAAAAAAATATATTTCACTTTATTTTAACCTAAGATATTTATATTTTATGCAAAATAAACGAAAATAAAACATAATTTTTTTTTAAAATTTTATCTGTAACGAGAACGCCCTGTGATTGGTTTCGACTCTGGTGACGTCACACGCGAGTAAACATAGCTGCTTTGAGTGATTGTAGTTCGAGTTCTACGTTTTTGGGTGCTATATTCGATCTTTGAGCTATTTCTGAATTAGTATTTCTGATAAATTTGATAACTAGCGGCATAAATATTCGTTTTGTATCTCAAAATGGAATCAAATTTTGTGCGAGCCGATAACAGCAACTTGCCTAAGATAGACGGATTTATGGTTGCAGATTTCTTTAAGAATAACGCTGATTACTATGCTGCAGAACATAAGAATGTGAAAACAGCCGTGTAAGTACTATGTACGAATTATTTATTTACAAACCTATAAATATGATTGTCATTCAGAAGTTTTGTAATATCTCATTTTAGGTTATGTTGATATAGTTAGAAATTTCTTGTAAATTCTCTTTGTAATGGGCTTTACTTTTGTTTTACAGGTCTGCAAGGGAATCCTATGGAGACGATGCGATTGGCTATGTCCAACTACAACGGGAGCATGGGGTTTGTACAGTTAAGTGTAAAATGTGCCCAGAGCATAAAGTTAGAACCAAACCATATAATGTGACGATGATTATTAATGAAAATGACAGCGAAATTATGAGCTGTCAATGCCACGACTGTGCTGCTTCAGCTGGAGGATGCAAGCATGCAGTTGCTTTTTTGATGTGGGTCCTTCGCCGTTCTGATGAACCTGCATGTACTTCCATAGAGTGCTATTGGAAAAAGCCTACATTGTCCAAAGTAGGGACTACGCTAAAATATATTACTGTGCAGCAGATGTCTAAAAAAGAAGTACCTCACAGACCGAGTTCATCAGCACTTTATACTGAATTTATTTCAGAAGCCAAAAAGAGAAAAATTGATAACTGTGAATTGCTAAAATATCAGCATGATTTTAAGCATAGTAATGTGATGCAGTATTCATTGCACTGACCAATCTCCAGAAATTAAAGCAGATGTAGACAAGTTTATTGACGTGATGAAAGCAACATTTACTGAAGCTGTGATAAGTACCATTGAAGAAGCAACAAGGAGGCAGAACAAAAGCAGCTTGTGGTATGAGATGCGATATGGCCGTATCACAGCTTCAAGGGCACATGAAGTAAGTGTTTGTCATACACCAGATGGTTCATTGGTGGCTTCTATCATGGGGGCAAAAATACCTGATACAGCTGCAATGAGAAGAGGTAGAAATTTAGAACTGTCTGTCCGAAAGACAGTCAGTAATATATTGAAAAGAAAAATCACCCCATGTGGGCTTTATGTGTGCAAAGAGAATCCCATGATTGCGGCATCACCTGATGGTTTAATAAAAGGTGCCGTTATTGAAATAAAATGCCCTAGCAAGGCAAAAGCAAAAGACAATTATTTGAAAAACGGTGTTATCACAGAAAAATGTAAGGCACAGGTGCATCTGCAAATGTATGCAACAGGGGTAAAAAAGAGCTATTTTTGTGTTGCTGATAGCAACTTTGAAGAAACGAAAAATGTTGACATTATTTTAGTGACATATGATAGTGATTATGTTAATAACTTAATACCAAAGTTAGCTACTTTTTGGCAAACAAATATTTACCCTATTTTGTATGGTACCAGTCTGTGATTGTTGGCGACACGCTTTAATGTTTATTATTTTTCCACTTTTATCCACTCCACATATTTGAATTAATAACAATTTATGTAAAAAGCAAATGTATTTCATATTAAAAAATAATATATGTTAAAAGTAAATAAATTCAATATAATGATAAAAATCCCCGCTTGTCAAAAATGTGTTTATAAATTAACTTAAGTCACGCGTTATGTAGTAATCAGGTATGTAATACGAATAAAAGAATTGCATTGTATAAAACATTTGTTTGAGTGAAAACATGTTATGTTCTTATGATAAGAGATAAGTTACATAATGGCTAAATGAACAGAGATAGCTGTAATATTAGATAGAGATAACTCTAGCCACCTACCGTGATGCTGAGGGTCATGTAGAAATTGGTTGTTCATTTTGTATGGGATTAGAACTGGCATCTCAATAATGTACTAAAATTTTAAAAAAAATAATTGCATTTAAAGAAACAATTATTTTATGAAAGTTTCAATAACATGTAAATGTATTAAATAAATTAGAGATTTAATTAGTATTGTAATAAATGTTACAGGATTATTGTATAGAATAATAAGATAAGAAATGTGTTAAGTGTTATGGCTAGAATAATATTAATATATAAAAATTATAATACATTAATAATATTAAATAAAAATTATAGTTGAAATAAAGAAGAAGAAGCTTCAGAAGAAGCTTAGAAGCGTCAGTAGCCTAATGGCATGGCGCGGACCGCGAACTCGTAAGGTCGTGGGTTCGAATCCGCCATTCGATTACTGTCGTGAACCACTTCTAACACAAGCATTTTAAGCTTACCAGAAGTGGTTAAAGGGAATATTAGTAAGGTTTAATAGCATTACTAGTATTTTTAAAAAAAATAAAGAGTTTTAATACTGCTTAAAAGTTTTAATTTTTGAATTAAACAATTGTATTAAGATATTCATGCTTATTAATAAAGATCATTGTTTTGAATGTGTGTGATAGATATTTAAGATTTATGACTCTAAAAATAGCTTGTAAAATTGTTATATTTTGCTAAATATTTGAAAATTTTTATGTTGCCCCGAGTTGCACACCTACTCAGGGGTCAGGGAACCCAACGTCGTGTGGTATTAGGATCTGTGAATAGGACACTAATTGGTTGATCTCTGCCGCAGGACGGGCGATGGAGGCCCGTTTTTCCTTTTCAGTGATAATGATTAAATAGAATAAGAATAGAATAAAATAATTTTTTATTCAATATTGATTATTACATAATACTTATTGAAAGTAATTTTTTATTTACCACTGGTTCGGAAAATACCTCAGTCCTGGGAAGAACCAGCAAGAAACCCAGCGGGACTTTTTTTTAAACATAATTTCACTTAAAAATAACTTATTTATACAATTTTTAAATGATTTTTCATAGAACCAGCATGGTGGCGATCACCCTATTCCCAGGGGTTATTTTCATTCATGTATTCCTTGATATTATAATAACCCTTTTTGTACAGTTTTTCTTTAATAAAACTTTTAAACTTGTTTATTGACAAACTTTGAATATGTTCTGGGATTTTGTTGTAAAAGCGTATACATTGCCCCATAAATGAATTACTGATTCTGTGGAGTCTAGTTACTGGCATTACAAGCTTATGTTTGTTCCTAGTATTTAAAGTATGCACATCCTTATTCTTATTAAAGCTATTTATGTTTTTATGCACATACATTACATTCTCATAAATATATTGCGATGCCAAAGTTAATATGCTTATTTCTTTAAATTTTTCTCTGAGGGACTCTTTACAATTTAGGTTATAAATCGCCCGTATGGCTCTCTTTTGCAAAACAAATATAGCTTCAATATCAGCCGATAAAAATCATGATGTATTTCTTGTTTTATTATTTATGATTTCACATTATTTAATAAGAGAATCCTGCAAATTTATTAGAGCACATGCAATAATAATGACATGATCAAGTACACGACATATGTTAGTATTTATCACTGAATGTTGCTTTAGCATATGGAATTCTCTTACTCGCCTAATTACCCTTTCAATATGAATTCGCAAGCTAGCGATTATTTTAGTTTGTCGAACTTCAGTTTTTGATAACTTTGCACCAGCATTTACACTGGGTGGCCTTAATAGTTTTATGCCCTTTTCATGAAGTATCTGTTCAAGGTGCTTGAAGCCTCTGTCAGCTAAGATGCAAGTTCCCTGTTGTAATCCATCTAGAAAGTTACAGTTCTCTACTATGGTAACATCACTTGCTCTACCCCCAAACCCTTGAGAAACATAATTAACCAAACCATTAGGTGTGCATGATATTAAATACTTCACAGTATTCCCCTTTTTGTACTCTGACCATGTCAGAGCCTGATGAAGAGCCTTTGATGGTTTTTGTATATCAATTTCTAGACAATCGATGATGCAGCTTACATTATGATAGTTATGTCTAAATGCAATAGGAAGATTCCTTTTTATTAAATTTTTGTCTAAGTTTACAATGAATGGTTTTAAAAAACTACTTATTATTGGTAAGTTTCTTAAAAATAATTTACTGGCATAAGATAATGATATACCAAAATTATCCTCGAGTTCAGAAAATGTGCTGTTTAATCTAATTTTTTTCAAGCATAGCAAAATATGTTCTCTATTTATATTTGTGTGTCTATGCAACAACTCAATTAAAAAATAACATTCTTTGGAAATACCAATATACATCAATGGTTTCTTTTCAATTAAACGCAAAGTATTTTTGAGGCACTGTAATTTTTCAATATTCTCATTGGTATCTGTAACATTACTATCAGAGTCAGTAACCTTTACTGATGTAGCTCCAAAAGGTGATAAAAGACCACTTTCAAAACAAGAAATATCACTATCAGATTTTTCATCTACAAGGAAAATATTTCTCTTAACTGCTTTAACAACCTCTGACTGTAATGGTTGAAGATGGCATGGTTTAATATTAATTGGTGAAGTGAAATGAGATATTGTAGAAACTTTCCATGGTGAGGTAGAAATACTTTTATTTTGGCATCTAGTTTGCACAGCCTTGCTCCTAAAATGCGTATTCACTTTTTTTGTTGCTTGAACAGCTTTTTCTACAGTTATGATAGGGTCGGTGATTGTTTCTTTGTCTTGAGTTTTTGGTAATTCTGAAAAGACAAAAAACCAAATTAATTACTTAATTTAAATGTGAATAACATAAACATAACTCATTTAAATGTGAAAAAATATCTTATGACATTTGTATTATATAGATAACATAACCTTTAGGCTCAATGATTTCTTGTATCATATCATCATTTTGTAAGCTTTCTGTATGGGTTGTAGTACTATGTCTTCGCAGACATTCTGTGACAATATCAATTCTTTGCCTTTTAAAGAAAACTTCTCGAGAAGGTCCAGCATCAGGTAGCCGACTTCTACGATCCTCTTGACAATGAAATTTAGTTGGCACAGCCTCATCTGCCAAAAGTATCTTCTGACTGAAGCCCATTTTGTACTTCAAGTAGTTAATTGTGTCCTTTTCCATCTGTAATTCAACATTATTGCCAATGTAAGGAGTGAAGTATCTATATTATGTTTGACAAGACAATAAACATTACAAGACAGCATAAGAAAATTATTAAGAAAGCTAAATAACATAACAGATAACATATGAAACCCTACAGGGAACCCTGTAGGGTTTGGGTGAAAAGTATCCTTCCAACTTATGCTGTAAGATTAAGCCATATTTGGAGGTTGGGTATTAAAGATGTTATTACTTTATACAAAAACCGATATTAGGCTACCATCTAGTCTAGTATATATAAAGTTATATATTACTTACATTAAAATGATCTTCACACATAAAAACATTGGTATGAGCTAAAATGCTCTTTGGGTCTCTTCGAGCTAATCGTAACCACATTTTTCGTCTTTTGGGATTCGTTGGAACAGAAACAAACAGTTTGTGTGGACTACTTATAGTCGTATTAGTACATTGTGGCACTACACACAATTTATACACCATTTTATCGAATAAATTTGAAGAAAAATAATAAAATTCACGTCAGCTGCACTGTTTTATTAGGGTTATTGACCTTTTTACTTGTGTGTGACGTCACACGGAATATGACCAGCGCAATTACAGAATAAGCGTTTTTGCCGCGGTTTTGGAAATTTAAACTTTAACTTTGATTTTTATTGTTAATACAGTAGATCTCTCGGAAATATCAATGTAGTATGCTTATTACGTAATAAAGAATCATTTAAAATGGTTTTCCAAAATTAGTCAAATAGCCTATTACATATTATATTTATTTCTTAATTTATTTACACATTATTGTTTATAACACCGAAATGAAAATATATTGAAATTTATAAAGGAAAAAGAACTAAATTTTGTGTACTTATACAATATTTAGAAATAATAACAATGTTACATTAAGTAAAACAAATGAAAACACAATTATATATTAAATATAATTCAATAACATTAAAATAAACATACGATTATTTATTAATTTTTCATCACATTAATAAACAAATTTAACAAAATTTTTGTCTTCTTTCTGGAGTATTCGTTGTAATTCTTGGTTTGAGTAGCTTTAGAATTTCTCAAAAATATGCATTTGTAAACTTGATTTATACTTTTGCATGGCAGAAATTCTTGGGTGCTGGGTGTTAGTATATATATATATATATATATATATATATATAATTATGCCTTGTATATAATATATTTTAATGGTATAAATAATAAGGTACAACTCCTAAACTATACTTAGATAGGTAATACTTATCTCTTGTAAAAAAACATCTTTATTACATTATTTATGTCAATTTAATGGAAATTATCATAATTACATATTATATTTATTTCTTAATTTATTTACACATTATTGTTTATAACACCGAAATGAAAATATATTGAAATTTATAAAGGAAAAAGAACTAAATTTTGTGTACTTATACAATATTTAGAAATAATAACAATGTTACATTAAGTAAAACAAATGAAAACACAATTATATATTAAATATAATTCAATAACATTAAAATAAACATACGATTATTTATTAATATTTCACCACATTAATAAACAAATTTAACAAAATTTTTGTCTTCTTTCTAGAGCATTCGTTGTAATTCTTGGTTTGAGTAGCTTTAGAATTTCTCAAAAATATGCATTTGTAAACTTGATTTATACTTTTGCATGGCAGAAATTCTTGGGTGCTGGGTGTTAGTATATATATATATAATTATGCCTTGTATATAATATATTTTAATGGTATAAATAATAAGGTACAACTCCTAAACTATACTTAGATAGGTAATACTTATCTCTTGTAAAAAAACATTTTTATTACATTATTTATGACAATTAAATAGAAATTATCATAATTATTACATTTATTTCTTAATTTATTTACACATTATTGTTTATAACACCTTTATATAAGGGATTGAGGGTGGACTAAATGTCCCATTGGTAGGCATTCCCAGTCAGTTTTACAATTATTATTGCATAATAAATTATTCATTTGTATATTTAGGTCCAGCATCATGCAAAGTTCCAACATTTGTAAATGAGGATTCATGTTTAATCAATCCATTTATAAGTAAATATTTTGTCATTGTCATGCAACCAAATTATTACAACTCATAATAATACAGAATGTCAGCATTTGAAAATAAAATAAGCAATGCTAGTCAATTTTTAATACATACAGAACAATGTCAAAAATCATAACTACTAATAAGGTCAAACTTATATCACTTATGAAGAAACAACAAGATACAACAAGAAATTATAACATTTTAAAAAAATATCTTAATTATATTATAAATTACATAAGTTAAGGGCCTATATTACCTCAGCTCAAATTCTAATTTCGCCCCCACTTCCCCGCACCATTCGTTCGCACACTACGACTCGCGGTCACGCGGGAACACGAGGTCAAAGCGATTTTGTTAGAGTAAAACAAACTATTATCGGACGAGCATTAAGCAATAAAATTTTCAGTCATAATTTAATATTAACTTGTCATTAAATGAACATAAAATTATATGTCGCAAATTTAATTTCATTGTACTTAAAGCTAAGTTCTAGTATAAGTTGACCCTTCATTGTACGGAAAGCCCATACAATACGAGATCAGCTTATACTGGCAAATTGCTCTTATAGTGAAAGGATCCGCCCATTGTTTTATAGTTTTTGTATGTTTGTAATGTGACAGCCATTTACGTATTTAATTATATTGGTAGTAGGTCTATGCAAGTATCTACATATACATACCTATAAGAAATTTTGCAAACCGATTCTAAACCAATGTATAAATTCTACTGCTACAAAAAACTAGTCAAGCGCGAATAGGGTTACCATATCTCAGGATTTGTCCTGACATTTTAGGATTTTAGACTCTTCTCAGGATATGGCATACATTGGCTTGGTAGTAAGTTTACGCCTCTTTATACTATGTTTACGCTTTGCATTTTACAATCTTAGTCAAGGTTTGTAAAAATATAAGATGGATAGGTAGGTAAGTATGTAGGTAGGAGTAGGGTAGGCAGCTAAGGCAGGGTAGGTAGATAGGTATGAATGAAATTAATGATTTTTTATTCAATTTTTTTAATTTTTTCAATTGTATAATACTTATTGAAATCTTTTTTTTTTTAATTTACCTATGGTTCGCAAAAAAAAACCTCTGTCCTAGGAAGAACCAGCAAGAAACCCAGCGGGACTTTTTTTAAACATATTTTAATTTACAATAAATTTATTATGTTAGAATTTTTGAATGAATTTTTATAGAACCAGCATAGTGGCGATCACCTCATTCCCAGGGGTTATTTTCATTTATATATTCATTTATATTACAATAACCCTTTTTGTAAAATTTTTAATAATTTTTTGTAACATTTATTTTAATTCGCTTAAGTCTCTAATTGGCATATTTCGAACATGTCTGGGATCGCATAGCTCAGGCAACATGCATGTTATATAAAAATTTTCTAATTTTGCTTCCATTTGTTCCCAATATTGGTCATCTCTCTCTATAATTTCAAATTTGATGTCTTTGTCGCATCCAGACCATACTCCGAAAATACATTTTCGCCTATCGGTGATATGTAATTGTCCCTGCACTTGGATATACCAAGGGTGTTTTTTATTAATGACAAGTCCGTTTTTAGTTTTTCTCCAAAACAACACTTTTTTATTGTTTATAGCTTCATCTAAAGATGTTTTAAATGCTGTTATTGGACACTTAATTTCAATGATTGTGTCTGTTCCTACTATTCCGTCTGGAGTTGCACCTAGAAAAGGAAACTTTTTATCTATGAAGAGACCACAAGGCTCTATTTTAATGTTTAATTGTGATGCTATCTGTTCCGCAGCTATTGCTTCATGCTCTATGCCATGTTTCAAAGATGGCACATTGCTTAGATTCTTCGGATATATAATATTCTTTACCAAATTTCTCACACTCGTATTTTGCCGCCTATTCACTACTTTGGCAAAATTAGATGCTGTTAGAAGTTTTCTTCTAAGTTCTAACCACTCACTGGAATCTCTTTGCAGAATAGTCGATTTTTCTATCTGTCTTCTGTCTTCTTCTGCACTCGGCAAATTTTTCAAAAATTCCTCCTTACACTGGTTGTACTCCAAAGATGTCATATCTGGCTTTTGACAATTTTCACCATAATCTTTATCGTTTTCTTTGGTTCTTAAAAACAATTTCCTACGTTTTCTTAAGTATTTAGATGCTCTTTCTCTTTGTTTTAATCGTTTCTCCTCCAATTTCTGCACTACTACTAAACGCAACATTAATTATAAAAGTACACCTGGAAGCGTAATTTTGTCAACATAAATAAATAATACGGAACCCTAAAAACTCCAACATTATGAAAAGTTTTATCGTGAAAACGCCATTTTGTGATAGTACCGTTACGCGTTAGTACCTACCAAGCGGTAGTGCCATTTTCACAAAACAAGTTTTAAAAACTACGCATATTTCAAGATAAAAAATTTAAAACTACAATAAAGTAAGTTTTATTATTTCAATTATCAGGTACAATTAAAACTTTAAAATAATAATCTATATTTTGCTGGCTGGTAATAATGTATATGGATAGATAAATTCGGCATTGCTTCGCTCATTCTGCAAGCGATGCGTGCAACGCGTTACACTAACAAAAAGCCTTACAAAAGTCGGACTGGCCGGACACATAAAAATTAGGCCGGACACAACCCGAAAAGCCAAACATGTCCGGCTAAAGCCTGACAGATGGCAACCCTAGCCATGGGGGAACAGCTAATTTCGTGATGATCAAAAACGCATGGTAGGTACTTAAAATTCTATATTTTGTAATATATGGAGATTTGTTTCGTCCAAATTTATTTCTACATCTTTCGAAGTTATTTGGATCCTGTAAGAATCACACGTGGCAAGTTAATAATACCTACCTAGGTATGAGATATTTTTATTTAGCATTTGGATATGGAACCCTAAAAATACACAAAAGAAGACAAAATCATCCATAAAAATCTGACTTTCCGCATGAATAACAATGAATAATTACCTATCTACGTTTATTATTACAATAAAAGCAGCAATTGCGCGTGGCTACATATCAAGCTATTATTTTCCAGTATAAGCTTACCTCTCATTGTACGTAATGTGTCTACAATGTGAGATCAGCTTATCATATCTCTTATGTGTTTAGGTAGGTAGAAGATACTCACGAATTTACCGGAATATTCTCTTTATCACCATCGTCTTCAGTACTTTGTAATCGACGTCTTCTGAAAAGATACATTACCTATAATAATTTAGCTAAAGCTAAACTATCAAGGTACGTCAGTACTCAATAGGTTCATAATTTTTATGTATTTAGTAGGTAGCACTATAGTTGGATAAGTTTTTTTTAAAACGTTACCCCCTCACTAGGATTTTCTCCTGTATTATGAAGACAGTTTACAAATATAAATTGCACAAGGACAAACATCCAGATCCGGAACAATTATTTGTAGGTCATACAAATACTTGTCCCGTGCGGGACTCGAACCCACGGACTCCAGCGCAGCATCTCATTGCTACGACTGTGCGCCACGGAGTAACGATAACGTAAGGACGGATAAGTAAGTTACAGTTTTATTTCTTTATAGTTAGATAGGTTACTTACCGAACACACTTATATTTTTTATTACTAAGTGCTTGGCTTCTGCACTTCGGGTCGGGGGTTCGATTCCCATACGGAACAAATATTTGTATGGCCTAAAGATAGTTGTGAAAATTTGTG